GCTTGTGACCCAAATAAAGAAAACAACCATGGTGGGTTCGACTCGGAATTAAAATCAAATAGGGATCTAGAATTTTCAAGTAGCCAACTAATGAATCAGAAAACAGGGGAATGGAACAAGCACAGAAACTTGATGAGATTTGGTGGAAGAAGAGCGGAGCACACAACTGTTTTGGGAAAGGTTGGCCACTCATAACGAGACTCTGCAATCAAGGGCTGAAAGGTTAGCAAGGGACAGGAAAAGGAAAAGAATGATGGAAAAGAGAATGAAAGCTTTGGCAAGGGCAAGACGCAATAGGAGGAAGAAGGGTAGATCCCAAACTAACGATTTGAGCAACGGGAAGCCAGATAGAAGGCAGCATCCAGTGTTGGATGTGGAGCGAGAAACAAAAAATAGTTGGTGGAAGGAAACAGAGGAATTATGGCTAATGTGTAAGCAATTAGGCCTAGTGGACAACAACAATGCAGCATAAATTATCCGAAGAATAGGGGAAATGGAAAAAAGAGATAGGGCAGCTTTAGCTGAGCAAAAATTGGCTGAGGCAACTAAGAAATGGAAATTAGTGAATCCTCCATGAAAATTATCTCAATTAATATTAAGGGTCTGGGTGGAAGCAATAAAAGAAGGGGTTTTGAGGGAGCTAAGAAAAAAAAGAAAGAATTGACATGATTTTCATCCAAGAATCAAAGCTGGAAGTATGTGAGGAGCGAACATGTAAATCTATATGGGGCAGTGACAATTGAAAATGGGTGGTTAAGCAGGCTCAAGGAAGATGTGGTGGTATAATATGCATATGGAACCCAGGTATCTTTGAATTAAATAAGGAGTTTCTCAGTAGTAGGTTTTGTGGTGTGTTTGGATTTTGGGGGAAGGATAAAATTCCTTGTCATTTTATAAATGTTTATGCACCTTGTGACAATCAAGGAAAATGCATTTTATGGAGAGAATTGCTTGATCTAATTAAGGAGAACAATGGGGGAAATTGGTGTATAGGAGGAGATTTTAATGCAATTCGGGATAGAGATGAAAAGAAAGGAATATGTGTTGATGAGGTTGCAATGAGGGAGTTTAACAAGTTCATTTGTGAAATAGGACTAGAAGATTTGCCTATGTCTAGAAGGCAATATACATGGTACAAAGCTGATGGCACAACAATGAGTAGACTTGATAGATTTTTAGTGTCAACAGAATTTCTAATAAGTTTTATGGAAGTTGTGCAAATAGGATTAATGAGAGACCTTTCTGATCATTGCCCATTCTTACTTAAAAGCTCATGTAAAGAGTGGGGACCCAGACCATTCAGAAGTCTTGATTGCTAGATGGAACATGACCACTTTAGTGACTTTGTTCATGAAAAGTGGAATGAATATAGAATTGATGGTTGGGGTGGGTATAGAGTGAAGGAAAAATTAAAAAGGCTGAAGAATGACTTAAAGCAGTGGAACAAGGAAGTCTTTGACCACATTGACAAAAATATGGAAGCTGCAAAGAATGAAATCAAGAAGTTGGATGTAAAATGAGAGACATATGCATTAACAAAAGTTGAGGTGGAGCAAAGACAGACCTGGTTTAAAGAATTATGGGAATGGAGCCGAGCGAAAGATAGTCTTTTGTTTCAAAAATCAAGGCAGAAATGGTTACATGAAGGTGACGCCAACAGCAAATATTTTCATGGCTGCATTGCTCGAAGGAGAAAACAGAATGGATTAGATCGGGTTATGAAGAGCAATGGGTGGATTACTAAGGTTTCTGAGGTAAAGAATTTTATTAAAGATTATTTTGAGGAAAAATTCAAAGAAGACAAATGGGACAGACCTAATCTGAAGTTAAAGAACCTCAAGCAATTGAATGTAGAAGAGAATGAAAGACTAACCGTAGAATTTATTGAAGAAGAAATTCGAGAAGTAGTGTGGAGCTGTAATGGAAACAAAAGCCCTGGTCTTGATGGATTTAATTTTTCTTTCATCAAGAAAATGTGGCCCACTCTAAAAAAAAGACATCGTCACTTTTGCTAAAGAATTTTGGGCTAATGGCAGATTGGTGAAGGGAAGCAATGCATCTTTTATTGTTCTAATTCCAAAGAAAGAGAACCCACAAGAATTAGGGGATTTTAGATTGATATTTCTTATTGGCTGCATGTATAAGATAATTTTCAAGATCTTAGTAAACAAATTGCGGAAGGTGATGCCATCTGTCATAAGCATAAACTAGTCCGCATTTATTGGAGGAAGACAAATAGCAAATGGGATCGTGATTGCAAACGAGATGATTCATGAGGCTAGAAGAAGAAAGAAGCCAACCTTAATATTCAAGGCAGACTTCGAGAAAGCATATGACAGTGTGAATTGGAAATTTCTGGATTTGATGATGGAAAAATTTGGCTTTTGTATAAAATGGAGATGATGGATTAAAAAGTGTCTATCTACTGCAGCAATCTCAATATTAGTGAATGGCAGTCCTACCGAGGAATTCCATGTGGAAAAGGGATTACGACAAAGGGATCCACTAGCTCTATTCCTATTTTTACTTGTTGCCAAAGCCTTGAATGGGCTAGTTCTTAAAGCCAAGGAGGAAAATTTGTACAAAGGGGTAAGGGTGGGGTCGGAGCAATTGGAAATCACACATCTCCAATTCGTAGATGATTCGATATTCTTCTGTGATGCTGCAGAATAGAATATTTGGGCAATAAAATGTGTGCTAAGATGCTTTGAGTTATCCTCAGGACTCAAGGTAAATTATTTCAAGATTGCACTATATGGAATTAATGTGGAGGAAGAAGATATCAGTGACTAGGCAGAGAAATTGAATTGTATGGTGGGTTTAACACCATTTAAATACCTTGGAATCCCTGTAGGTTCTATCCTGAAGAAAACCTCTACATGGACACCGGTTATTGACTGCTTGAGAAGGAAATTGTCAAACTGGAAATGTGAATCGTTGTCCTTTGATGGTAGAATTATCCTTTTGAATGCTGTCTTATCACGTATCTCGGTTTACTTCTTTTCAACCATGAGAGCTCCCAAAAAGGTACTAAATATTCTCTCTTTAATTCAAAGGAGATTCTTATGGGGGGGTAGTGAGGATAAAAGGAAGATTGCTTGGGTTAGTTGGGAAACAGGGTGTAAAAATAAGAATGAAGGAGGTCTTGGTGTGAAAGATCTAGGTAGGTTTAATTTGGCACTGTTAAGGAAGTGGCGGTGGAGACTGTTATGGGAGAAAGGGGCCTTATGGAATAGGGTAATGGAAGCTAAGTATGGAGTGCATAGGAAACGAGACTATAGGGGCAGGGAAGTGAAAGCTAATAGTTCAGATTGGTGGAAGAAGCTATGGAAGATTGATAAGGCAGTAACTGGTAAGGAGGGTTGGGTTCAAAAGGGATTAGAAAAAGTTATTGGGGAAGGGAATGAATTGTCATTCTGGCAAGAGGAGTGGTGTGGAGAGGGACCATTTAGGGAGAAATTTAGTAGATTATATAGATTGTCGAAGGATAAGGAAGCTTTAATAAAAGACATGGGGGAATGGAGAGGAGGAAAGCAGGTGTGGACGTGGAGATGGAGTAGGGAATTATTAGGTCAAGATCTAACTGCTCTATAGGAACTCATTGATCTGCTGAAAAGCAAAATTTTGATACAAGGGAAACAGGACCATTAGAGATGGAGACATCACCCAACGAGCACATATACCACAAAGTCAGCCTACAATGTAATTGCAGGCGATACAAGGGACCTAAATCTACTACAATACAGGATGGTAAGGAATAAGAATGTACCATTGAAAGTTGCTACTTTTTTCTGGAAAGCCATACAAAATAGAGTCTCTACATGAGATAATTTGATTAAAAGAGGTATTGTTGGAATTAAAGAGGACTTCGCATGCATATTATGTGGACATAATCAGGAATCGATAGATCACCTATTCTTCACATGTGAGACAAGTTGGAAGGTTTGGCAATCTTGCTTTGAATGGTGGGGCGTCCAATCTGTTCTAACAAATGAAGGCTGGGGCCATCTACAACAACACGTAGGTATGGTCTCAAAGGGCAGAGCTAAGACAACATGGTATGTGATTTGGTTTACGATGATATGGTCTATTTGGTTATGGAGAAACCAATTGATTTTTAAAGAAAGACTTGATTCTCTTGATAATGTTATGAACTTAATAGAGCTTAGGTCTTTGAATTGGTTAAGAGTCAAATTTGATAAGGAATTATCAAAGGATCTTTGGTTTACAAATCCTATGGAAGCATGCCATAGCAGATTGCTAGCTCGTGATTGACTGTATACTGTGTCCAAATAGAATTTGTCATGTTTCCTTTTGTTAAAATGATGTAAGGGTTGGAGTACCCCTTGTACTCCTTTTGTTATTTTATGAATATCATTTCTTTTGGCTAATCAAAAAAAAAAAGGGAAAATGATAGATCATGTATTTTTGTTGCACAAGGTAAGTAAACTATTGTCGCTCAACAACATCCGACAAGGAGTTAGAACAGTCAACTGAACATATCCAGGTCATTTGCATGTTGATCATATGTTTGGTAAAGAGGACTGCAAATAAATGAAATGAAATTTTATTAATTCTTTTTATGAATGTATCATTTTTTATTCTGAATTCTGTGCAATCGAATTGCTAAAATTCCTAATGAATGATGATTTATGTATACTTCCTTTCTATTCCTCCTTGGGTAGCTTGCCTCAAACACTTTGGACAGCAAGAGAAATTTGTCAAAACTCCTCTTTGTTTCAGTAGAATTAAGGAATTATCTGAGAAACCTGTAAAAGTTGTATGTCAGTGAATACAAGAACATTGCATCGATCTCAAACCGCTCCATCAGATGATACATTACGCCATTACCTTAGGAGGTGGCGGTATTAGGTTGTGGCAGGTATTGTCACAAGGGTATTCACAATCAATCTCTTTGGTCGGCCTTCTGTTGAAGTACCAATCACCAACTGCCTCTGCAATGGTCTATTATGAATGATAAAAGGCGTCAATCACATGAAAACTTGTTCTCAATGTCAGAAGATCATCTTAAAAGCTTGATATCCCAAGATTTTAAGATTTAGGTTCTCAACTGAGCATATATATGTAGCTTGAAATAGATGCTTGTACTGGTATTTGGAACAAAGGCATGACTCTTTAACTTTACACTGGTAGTTATTATAAGCGAAGAAAACAATGGAGAAAGAATCAAGGCATTTTACCTTATTATGTACTCTGGGAGGGTTGTCAGCAAACCATGTGTCTTGTGACTCACTTTGACAATGAGCAAAGCATGAATTTATGAACATTCCTCCTCTTCCTGAATCTTGATAGAAAGGATTCAAAACAGCAAGCATTCCACGCCTGAAACCTAGAAAGAATACCGTTGAACAAGTTTAGCATTTGATAATCTCCAAATGACTGGCATTCATATAAAAATTTCGTTGTTCTTATAATTAGGCCTTCTTCATCCTGCAGCACTCATTCGCAAATTGCAATTTAAAAATAAGCAAAATTGACGAGAACCACCACATGGAAATTATGTTAACAATGAACAACCTTGTAATATATCAATTTGAGTTGCATTGCACTCTGCTGGATTAAGCTTGCAGCGATTCCAATGTCCATGTAAATCGGCAGAAGGTGGAACCAAACCATGTTGAAACTATCAAAATGGAAATTTAAATTCCAATATAGTAGTGTAAAAATTAACTTAAGTTCCAAAACTTAACACGATATAAAAACAAAAAAAGGCAAATGAAAAATTACCTGGAATACATCATAAGCAGAGTTCAAGATAAAAAATGGTGTTGTTATATATTTCAATGCATGCTGTGGGAAAAAACACTGCAAAAAAAAAGGGAGAACGTCAAGATCATGATATTGCTATAAAAGGAAGTCATGCTTTGATTTGATTAATCAGTAACAAAGGAACAACATAGATATCATACCCACTTTGGAAAGGCGAAGGATTGGGTGCATTTCTTGTGAAGATTGGGTTCTATGCCCTGTCATGTACATAGCTTGAATGTCAATTTCAAATATATAGGCTAATAATGAAGCACAATATTCAAGTCATAAACACTTAGCGACTATGATTGACTTCAGGACATTTGTTGTTTCTTCCTTTTGGTCAGTAAGGTTATACTAAGAAAGAATTTTATTTTCTGCCGTGCATCATATTTTAACAAGGTGTGCCAAAGATGATAAGGTTACCTGTAAAGAAATTAAATCCTCAAAAAATGACCTCATGGTGGGGTTCAAACTTATATCTCTTCTGCAAAATACAAAAGGCAAAAAATAGTTTTAACATCTTGAATAGAAGACAGGAAAATTTCTCATCAACAAAACTTGAGTATAGTGAGAGCCAATTTTAGTCTATTTGGTAGGTCTATGTCAGCAGTGCTCATAAAAAAGAATGTATCAAAAGTTGAATCAATTGTAAAACTAAAAGATCTGACACATAATCAGCCTACATTTAAACTAAGTTATTGAACTTGAATGAAACTTTGCGAATTCTAACATTTTCTGAATGACCTCTTAGAGAATGCATAAATATTAAACTTACATGTCCAGAAAGAAACCAGCATCACTCAAGCACTTGACATTAGTATTGAGTGGTAACAAGTTTCTGAAGTTGTCACAATGCAAAAAGGTTGCAAGACCCCCTGCAGAGCAACCTGAAAGCAAAGCCTAGAGAAGAAATGGAATAAGTAATCTAAAAAAGTATTGTTCAAGTTCAAATCAAAATTTACAAACATGAACAAGAAATGCGAATTAAACTGAGAAGAAACCACAAGCTTACATTCCCTGCAGTTGCTAATCCTTTACGAAGAATATCACGAATAATTGCTTCCCATATTCTTTGTCCTCTGAAATAAAGCAATGATGTCTGCTCATCACACAAGATGCAAGTTATCAATTCAAGGCCTTTCCCATGATTATAATTAAATTAGTTTATAACATATAACAAGTTATTTATAGATGACAATATATATAACAGCCTCCCAATCTGAATAGAAAAATATAAAGAATCAGAGAATTACCCCATTGTCAAACTTGCCATCTCCGGCAAATGAGGCTCCATCACAGTATCTCAACTTGACTCGGTTCCAGTTGTAAAAATCTGATTATTAACCAAGAGTTTGATGATTGCCCAAAAAAAAAAAAAAAAAACTAATTAAGAATTTGATAATTATTCCATTAATAAGTTAATTAACAACGGAAAGGACATTAGTTTTGTCTTTATTTTTCGTTGACCTTTGGTTTGTACATTGTAAAGCTATATGCATATGGACGTCTTACTAAAATTAAAAGGAGATTATCAATTACTATTTATTGTTAACTGAGGTACTTAAACAGTTGTTGAAAAAGTGCTCAAATCACTTTTCCATCAAATGTTGGGTATAACAGCATTTTCCTTTTTCAAATCTTTTCTTTTAACTGTAGACCTCCAATTAATCATGGAGGGATGAGGTCGGAGCAGTGACTCCTTTAAGCTAAAACCCCGATGAAGAAAATTTTTTTAAAAAATAATGACCTGTCTAATGGATCGATGGGACCTGCCTACTACGCAGATGCTCCTCATTTCCAGCTAAGAATCCTACTTGAACTACTTCACGTTGTAGTATTAGGTAAAGGGCACAATATTTTTTCGCTATTCTATTTTCCACTGTAATTTGAAACGATCTCAAAGAAGAATCTTAAAGGAAAATGCAAGTCTGCGAAACCTAACCAACCAAACCCATGGTAGTCTTTGACCTACATATTGGTTGGATACACTACATTGACAATATGACACTCGACCAGATTTTTTTTTTTCCGTTTAGACCGTCAAGTTACCTTTGAGAGTTGTGATGCACTTCGAAACTAAAGCTTAATGTTTAAATTGCCATTTTAGAATTATTGTGTTAAAGTCTATTGCCACTTAAAAGCTATTAGTACAATTTGTTATTCTAAATTTTTATTTTTGAGAAATTATATTAAATTTAACAATTATCATTAAATTCTGTTGAATTATTATTTTTAAAAATTTAATGAGAAATTAATAAGAACCATTAAATTTAAACTAATATTTTGAAAATGAAAATTTGAGATACCAAATTACGTCAACATTTTTTCAGACAATAATTTATGATAATTTTAGAGAAAAATTTGCATCTTTTACCTCAAAACTAATAATTTTTTAAATAATTTTAAAAATATATCATTTACATAAATTTAATATATTCAAGAAACCCACCCTACGTAGATACAACCGTTACAGTTATAACTCCTATGAGACTTGAAGACATTGAAACAAATTAATGCCGATGAAGGCGCGCTGCCTTTGGTATTTGCAATTACCCCAATACAATAAGCAGTAATAAAAATTAAGAAAAGATCGAGAATTCAGAATCTAATTTAAAAGGAAAATTATGCATTGTAGCTAGCTGTCTGCTTAGCGGACAACTTCACAATCACATGAAAAGAGACACGTAGTGATTGCAACATGGACATGTCTGCAAGATCAATCCGCAACTACCAAATGCGTAGGATGAGCTTTCTTTCTAGGTATAATCATAGACAACAGTCAAATGGTCCAAGACAATCATGCAATCTAATTGGAATCTTAATTATTGCCCCCTTCTTTTATCTTTTCTTTTAGTATAATTTTTCTCACACCATCCCTAACTAATTAATGCATATTGGTCAAACAAAATCATACATGGGTCTCTAGTGACAATAAATTTTTATTTTTTTCATTATTAATAGAGTGTTCATGGATCAATTTGCTTGTTATTCAAAATTAATTCCACTACCTTATTTTGGTCCCCCCATAGATCAGACGGAGCCCAAAAACGTAGATCTAGTTAGTTCTATTTAGAGTGGATGGAGACATGTATTAATTTGTACATGTACCTGGATTGAGGTAGGCGTTGTTGCTTAAGATGCCGGAGAAAACTTCCCATTTGCTCATGTGACGTGTCGATCCACGATGAGTTTTGGCTCTGTCCAGGCAAGATGGGATATCATTGCACCACCCACCACCCTAAATGAAAGAAGTTGCAAAAATTGATGGGATTACAAGCAATGTCAAGAGTGTTGGACCAACAAAACCCAACGGAAACTAACAAACCCCATTTTCTTCCCCACCATCTAATTATCATTATCATAAAGTGTCACAATAGATATATAACATTAAATGAGTAAATATATATTTATTAATTAAAAGAGTTGATCATAAATTAGATGAGTTTTTTTTTTATTTTTTTTATTTAAATTACAAAATATAAATTATTAAATAAAAAATTACTTTCAATACCTATAAAAAAATCAAATAATAAATAATATTGACCATGAATCATTTTATTATATAATATTTAAAGTCTGATTGATTTTAGAGGAATTAGAGGATTGATAAGACGTCTGAAATTTCATCTTGCCAAACAACTTTTTGGGTTAATTCTCATGCTCTGATCTAATAGTTAAGATTATTGATCAGTGAGGATTTGGGAATTATGTTTTTTAACTTCATAAGATCCTCTTTTCTCAATTTTTATATACCTAAAATATGTATTAATTATTTTTGTAAAAAAATTTTTTTGAGTTCAAAGCTTGGAAATTAGAATGAAGCATAGGAAAATGACTAATTCCATTCATGTAACCCAGATGCAGCTTTGAAAGTTGGAAACCTTTCACCAAATCACCATTTCATGAGAAAGAGTATAAATAAAAATATTAATTTTTTATTTTTTATTTAAAAATATTAATTTTATTAATTTTTAAATATAAATATTAATTTTTTATTTTTTATTTAAAAATATTAATTTTATTAATTTTTAAATA